GGACAGTACTGTCAAAGTGTGTCAATTAAAAACTGCATGTTGGTTGAAAGAAGGGAACTAGATGTGGAAAAGCCACACTTTGCTAGAGGATGGCTTATATTTTATAAAAAGCTGTTCTGAGCCTTGAAAGTGTAACCAATCTCTAAATGCTCTTTTGCGTATTCAAAGAGGTTTGATTAGTGTTTGAGATCACAGCAGCAAGCAATTCCTGAAGCAGGCAGCTGGATGGAGCCACAGTGTTTTTAGTCCCTTACAAGGCCATTTATCCTTGCAGGGCTGAGATATACTGTTTATCTAGACTTTATCATGTGTGATATGAGTGGAATAATCATTCAGTATGAAGGCGTCTGTGGGAAAAAGGGCGGAAAGGATGAAGTGAAAAGAAAAAGTAAAAGTAAGGTTAATGTGTTGATACTGCAGTGAAAATGCATTGTCTATTCATGTTCTGTTAGGGCAGAGAGAGGGAGGAATATTCTCATGAAAGACTCCTGCTTTCTTCCATGGCAATGTTCACTTGCATGTTCCAAGCATTGTTCATTTCTGGTCCTTTTGTGTATATGCAAGTGAAGAAATCCAGAGATAAAGTTAGGTAGTTTCAGACAATAGTTACTTCTCTCTGATTCAGCTCCATGACTTGTGATCTGTCTATCAAATAGCCCAGTGCAAGTCAGGAGAAGCTTAACAGCTTGTGTTGCATCAGTACTCATCCATACATCTATAACTTTTTTTGTCCTATTGCACAGTTGGGAGGTTCTAGTAAGCTGTGTTGACAAATCTAACATTATGGTGCTTTTGGAATGCATTGATTAGATTGTAAATGGCAGCACTTCCTATTGCTATTTTTTTTTTTTTTTTTTTAAATTTACTACAACTCCTGCACATAGATTTAACTTGATGTAATTTTTAGCCAAAAATCATTACCTCATGAATTGCTTCTGGATCTCAATTCAGTGAGAACACTTAGTTTTCTGCTTCAGAGAATTAATCAGCTGACTGTAGCCTTTTCTTGTAGTTAGAGAAACTTCATTTTCTTCATAATATTGTGGCTTTTGTATCATTAACAATTCATCAGTACCCACAAAATTGCATCCACCTTTATTCACAGTAGAGCAAACAACTTGCATTTTCTTTTCCAACTGTGACATAGGAATATTTAGATTTTGAAAAAAAAGATCTGAAATATGTGGAGGACTTGCTATAGTTCACTTTTCATTTCAAGACACCTTTCTTGCATCCCAGTCTCCCTGGAGTCTGCTGTTATCATTAAGTCATTTTTACCTTTGTTATAATTAAGGCTCTCTACTGTTAATTCTGCACAAACAATAGAGTTTTGGCTTTGTTGCCAAATAAGATGCATCATGACTATAATCCAGCAGTTATTTATATCCAGTGAATCTTAGATGAGATAAATGTAGAAAACACTGGGCAGCCTGTTCCAGTGCTCCGTCACCTCACTGTTAAGAAGTTCTTGCGCACATTTGTGCAGAACTTCTGATGCTGCAGTTTCTGGCCATTTTCCCTTTGTCCTGTCTCCACACGCTGCTGAAAACAGTCTAGCCTCACCACTCTGACCCCCACACCTTAGATATTTATAGACCTGGATCAGGTCTCCTCTCAGTCTCCTTTTCTCAAGGCTGAACAGACCCAGTTCACTCAGCCTTTCCTCATAGGAGAGATGCTCCAGGCCCTTCACCATCTTTGTGACCCTCCGCTGGACTCTTTCCAAGAGATCCCTGTCTTTTTGTACTGGGGAGCCCAGAACTGGACGCAGTACTCCAGATGAGGCCTTACCAGGGCAGAGTAGAGGGGGGAGGATCACCTCCCTCGACCTGCTGGCCACGCTCTTTTTAATGCACCCCAGGATGCCATTGGCCTTTTTGGCCACGAGGGCACACTGCTGGCTCATGGCTAACCTGTCGTCCACCAGGACACCCAAATCCCTCTCTGCAGAGCTCCTCTCCAGCAGCTCATCCCATGCATGTACCAGTGAATGCAATTATTCCTCCCCTGATGAAAAACTCTACACTTGCTTTTGTTAAACCTCATCTGGTTTCTTACTGCTCAGCTCTCCAGTCTGTCCAGGTCATGCTGAATTGCAGCACAGCCTTCAGGTGTATCAGCCAATTCTCCTAACTTCGTATCATCAGCAAATTTGCTGAGGGTGGAGAAGAGAATGAACACCATAAGGGTCAGGCTGTTTTGCAGACAAATCTGGAAACAAGAAGAGGATGTAATTATATTCTTGTCTTTCAAACTCATATCCTTTGCCTCAGAGTAAAAGCATATGAGATACGATATGTTTACTACTTGAAATGCAGGATACAGGGTGTGAGAGTTGACATTTTGATTTTCCTTCAGATAACTTTACGTAGCTAGAAGAAAAAAGAGAAAATTCTGAACGCATTAAATAAATATGCTGATTTTAGTGGTGTCTGCACGTAAGTTATCCTGTAAGCAAGCTTACCATATTCACCCTCTTCCAAAGTGTAGGTAAACATAAAGCTTTTTGGAGATGACCAGAAAACTAGTATGTAAAACAACTGGGTTCTGTGCGCATTTAAATGGAACAAAGATTTTGTTCTTTCTTAGTATTTTGAACATGGATGAGATAATTATTTTTGCCATCGTTACCTCCAAATTTGATTGAGAAGCAGAGTGTGTTACAGTAATCATTTGCATAATTAGGAGAATAGAGTGATATTATCTATTGCAAAGAAATAAAAAAGATGTTTATGAGACATGGATACACTTTTATTTCGTTTTAGAATGTGTTTGAGATTAGTAGTGGCACTTCATCAGTATGCTAGGAAGATGATTTTCTTAGTTCATTACATGTGTTACTGTTGGAAAACAGTACATAGAAAAACAATGGCCCTTTTTTTTCCAGAAGAATGTACTTTGGCTTCTTAGGAGAAATGGAAGATGACATCCCACTGAAGGCAACAGTGGAGAGAAAAAAGGCCCAAGAGAGCTTTTTGATTGCCAGCACAGCTTCTTTCAAGCATAGATGAGAATGTTTTGAAGTTTATGAGCTGAAGGATATGGCAGAAGATCCCTGAGGCTAAATAGGGACCTCAGACTTATCTCAGCTGTAGAATGATCTTGTACATAGGTGGAAGTAGGGATGGGCTACATGAGATAAGTAGACATGGCTAGAAAGGAGCAGAAGGACCAGCAGCTTCTGACCTGGGACTGAAAATTGTAGTGGATGAGAAGGAGAATAGGAAGGGCTGTCACAGCTTCATAAGCAGCAAGAAAGAATTAAGGAATGTGTGGACCAGCTAAAGAATAGCATGATGGGCTAGAAAGTAGAAATTGGCTGAGTTACCCGACAACTTCTTTTGCTTTTTTTTTTTTTTTTTTTTTTAAAACTGATAAGGTTCTCTGGATCTGTAGGCCAGACTGGGCCATAGTCAAGAAAGACTAAAAGTGGAAATCCTTAAGCAATCTGGACATATGCAGAAGGTGGAAACTGTTAATCAATGTGGAACACACTTCTGGCTATGAAATTTAAAGAATAGAACAGAATAAAATCAGGGCTGTTACAAAGAGACAGTTTGTTTTGAAAAATGCATTATTGTTGCCATACAAGACATAAATTATGAGACATTTGTGGACAGCCTGCTTTTGTCTCCTTTCCATCCCTTGAGGGGCTACAACTGTCCTGGGAGGTCTGTCAGCCACTGTTAATTCCCTTGTGTGAACTTAGAAAATTGAGCATTTTTCAACCTTGTTACCTGGAAAACAGCTGTTTAGCTATTCAGCTATTAGGTGTGATAATGTTGATAGGATCAGATATTTAGGGGTGGGAACTGAGAAACTAAGAAAAAAAAGCACAGAACAGACAAAGCCCCCCAAACTAAAATGATGTAGCTTGTAGTTTACCTAAAATTTTCACAGAATCACAGAAACACCAAGGTTGGAAAACACCTACAAGATCACCCAGTCCAACCATCTGCCTATCACCAACAGTTCCCACTAAACCATGTGCCTCAACACAAAATCCAAACGTTCCTTGAACACCTCCAGGGTCGGTGACTCCACCACCTCCCGGGGCAGCTTATTCTACTGCCTGACCACTCTTTCAGAAAAGTAGTATTTCCTAACATCCAGCCAAAATCTCCCCTGGTGCAGCTTGAAGCCATTCCCTCTGGTCTTATCACCAGTTACACGAGACAAGAGACAGACCCCCAGCTCACTACAACCTCCCTTCAGGAAGTTATAGAGAGCAACGCTCCTGGAGCTTCTTTTTCTGCATCCTGAACATTCCCAGCTCCTTCAGCCTCTCCTCATAAGCCCTGTGCTCCAGACCCCTCACCAGCTTTGTTGCCCTTCTTTGAACCCACTCCAGGGCCTCAATGTCTTTCTTGCAGTGAGGGGCCCAAAACTGGACACAGTACTTGAGGTGCGGCCTCACCAGAGCTGAGTACAGGTCACACTGCCCTGTTCCTGCTGTCAATGCTGTTTCTGATGCAAGCCAGGATGTCATTGGCCTTCTTGGCCACCTTGGCACACTGTTGGCTCATGTTCAGCCCAGCATCAACCAACACCCCCAGATCCAGGTCCATTTCCTCTACACAGTCCTCCAGCCACGCCGCCCCAAGCCTGCAGCGTCGCCTGGGGTTGTTGTGGCCAAAGTGCAGGAGCCGGCATTTGGCCTTGTTGAAACTCATCCCATTGGCTTCAGCCCAGCTCTCCAGCCTGTCCAGACCCCCTCTGTAGGGCCTCACTATCTCCAGGCAGATTGACATTTCCAGCCAACTTGGTGTCATCTGCAAACTTACTGAGGGTGCACTCAATGCCTTCATCCAGGTCATCAGTAAAGATATTGAAGAGGACAATAAGGATATTCAAGAAGACAGATTTTGAGCTGGTGCCTATCTCAGATGCTTGATTGGACTGAAATGCATGTGCACATGTACAAATGTTACTTGGCTTAAAAAAAAAAAAAGCTGAACTAAATGTGTATGATTTCTTGTTTGCCTTTTATACAGAAATGCCTGGACTTCTGACTAGTAATCCCAGCTGACTGCTGTTTGTATAGTAAAAGGCCAGTTCTGCACTGCCTGCCAGATTGTTTGTGTTAGAGGGAGCCTCAGCAACACTTCTATAGCCAAGTCAGGTCAACACTTCTGTCTGAAAAGAGAAGCAGATCTTGTAAGTAAATATGTTTGTGTTTCACAATGCTGCCTGTTGTTTTCTCCTTTGTCAGCTTCTGATCTTTGATATAGCTGCATAGCTTTCAGTACCATGACTTCTCAAAATTGTGAATTTTAATTCTAAGAATGCTGGCTAAACGGCTCCATGTGATTAAAATAATAGGTCTTTCCATTGCTTACATCTCTAAAATGCATAATGGAAATGTCACCATCTATGCTTAATTATGACTTAAAAAATATGAAGCAGATTAGATGGATGTTCTGCTAACAATAAAGATATCTGGAAGTGCCTAGAGCCAAACAAAAAGCTTGGTATCTGAAACTCCAAATCCCAAACATCAGATTGGACTTTATTCTTGTACCCCAAATGTTTGGAAAACCTAGCTCCTATTTTGTGTATGTTTTGGAAAAATGGAAAAAAGGTGCATGCATGATGTAAATTAACTTACTGAAACTCTGAGTTGTGCTGCAAAGTACAGAACATTCATTTGGTTCATTGCTATTAGAAAGTAATCAAACAGGATTAATTACTTCTTTTGTCTTCTGAAATTCTCATTTAGAAGGTGATATAGTTTATCTGTATTAAGGAATTGAAATATGACAATACAATGGGCACAGGTGTTAAAAACTTTTTTTACTGTCCAGACTTTTAGCGGCTTCCTGGCTAATATAGATGCTAGTTGTCAGCTGTTAAAATTCTTCATCTTTTTGTGACTCAAACAAGGTAAGTTACTGCTTATGTATAATCAATGAATATTAAGATATTATAATTACAAAATAAACAAGAGAGTTAGGCAAAACAGATTATAATAACAAAAAGAGAATAAGAGAATAGATAGAAAGCTTACCCCTATTCTGGCTCACTTACAAAACTCCAGCAGAGTAGATCTCTAGAAGCAATCCTTCCACACTGGTAGCCAGCTTTTAAATGGATGTAGGAGAAGTGGAGCCAGGCTCCACCCCTTCTGGCAGCACAGGTGAATTGCCTTCACCTGTGCTCCTGTGTCTGACACATTGCTCGCATCAGGTGATCAATCAGAAGTTCAGCAGTTCCCATACAGGTTGATTAACACTAAATTTTTCTAATTCCTTGCATTCTGCCTTTGAGCAATTTTTGAAGTTCCCATTTTGACAAACCCTGGGTTTGCTTTAAAACCAGAATAAGGTAATGAATCTTCCATAAGGAAATGCTTTATTTCTTGAGCTGCTAAGACTTGCTTAACAAAGTACAGCTGTTGTGTTTCAAATGAAATATTGGTTAAGTGAGCAGGTAAAATAGATTAATGGATTGTAGTTAGAGATTAGATTATAATTAGAGATTAGAGATTAGGATTAGAGAGTGGCTGAACAGTCTCAAATTTAATAATCATGTAGTGTAATGAAGAGGAGCAAGGTGTATTTCAAGACCTTCCTGATATGGGAGAATAAATTAGTATGGCTTACTGACTTGGTTTCCTGCTCAACTGTTAGGGTTTGAAGTTTAGTATATTTTTAATCTACATTTTAGTAGTTTTTCAAATGCTCCGAACACACTTTTGCCTGTGAAAATTGCACTGTTTCCTGTGGGAACCACACTCAACTCTTCTGTGAGTACTTCTAATAATTCCTTATATCCTGTTTGACAACACCAGGTCATATTAAAATGTAAAAATGGCATGGAAGTGAAAGACATTTTGGTACTTAGGGACCATTTTGATTCTAATATTTGCTATAATTGTGAAGTGTACTTTACAATTGGAATTGGGTATAGTAAAAGCTACCACACCCAAGCATGCATAGTGACATATTCTAGTCTCTGTTATAAATCAGCATGCTGTCTTTTCAGTAACAAAATCATTCCTTAAAATGGGGCATTATTCTGAATTGTACTTCCTAGAATAGAACACATGAGGGTAGCATGGAGTTTGTAGAATTCAGCTTCTTACAGTGACAGAGCCTTTGATTTAGGCTTTTTACTTCATTGTGATAGAATGTGAATGCTAATATAAAAAGTAACAAAAATGACTGATTCAGCTTTTAAAATGGATCAGACTCTGAAACACAAAATTTCTTGTTAATAGTATAGCATTCATCTGTTCAGTGTGGTTGCTGTTGTTTGATAGCTCTTTTCAATGCTTTAGCTTTTAATTTGCCTGATACATCCTTCAGAGATGCTATTTAGTAGCTTAGTATTATTGCTGTTAGATTCCTTGCTTGTCATTTGTTAGTTATTCTTGTGCTTATATGAAAGTTATCTTCTGGATCTTCTCCTCCAAGAATTACCCATGCAAGTGCTAAAAAAATTATTCTTAGTTTGAAGTATTTACACAAGCCACCCTAAAATATATCTTCAAATCTAATAAATTGTCACTGCAGAGAAACAAAGCATTGCCGTCATACATAGCACTCATAAAAGTCTCTAAATAGTAACCAGAAGCAGACTAACAATTACTTAAATGCAGTTTTCTTCTTAACTATAATTATATGTCAGCATATTCTTCCTTTCAGAAACATACTGTATTCCTAGAATCATAGAGTCACCAAGGCTGGAAAAGACCTCCAAGATCATCCAGTTCAACTGTCCACCTATCACTAGTGTTTCCCACTAAACCACGTCCCTCAGTACAACATCTAAATGTTTATTGAACACCTTTAGCGTTGGTGACTCTACCCCCTCACTGGGTAGCCCATTCCAGCACCTGACCACACTTTTGGAGAAGTATTTCCTAACGTCCAACCTGAATCACTCCTGGTGCAACATGAGGCCATTCTCTCTTGTCTTATCTTTAGTTACATGGAGGAAAAGAATGACCTCTTCTCTCACCTCACCATAATCTTCCTTTAGGTAATTGTAGAGAGTGATAAGGTCTCCCCTGGACCTCCTCATTTCCAAACTAAAAATCCCAGCTCCCTCATCAATCAATAACCCCATGTCCATTTCATCTGTGCAGTCTTCCCGTCACTCCGCCCCAAGCCTGTAGCATTGCCTGGGGTTGTTGTGGCCAAAATGCAGGACCCAGCATTTGGTCTTGTTGGAACTCATCCCATTGGCTTCAGCCCAGCTCTCCAGCCTGTCCAGACCCCCTCTGTAGGGCCTCACTATCTCCAGGCAGATTGACATTTCCAGCCAACTTGGTGTCATCTGCAAACTTACTAAGGGTGCACTCAATGCCTTCATCCAGGTCATCAGTAAAGATATTGAAGAGGACAGACCCCAGCACCGACCCCTCAGGAACACTACCTGTGACCAGTCACCAGCTGGATTTAGTTCCATTCACTACCACTTTCTGGGCCAGTTCCTTACCCAGCCAAGAGTGTACCTGTCCAAGCCATGGGCTGCCAGCTTCTGCAGGAGAATACTGTGGGAGACAGTGTCAAAGGCTTTGCTGAAGTCTAGGTAGACTACATCAACAGTTTTTCCCTCGTCCGCCAGTCACTAGATCATAGAAGGAGATCAAGTTGGTCAAGCAGGACCTGCTCTTTTTGAACCCATGCTGGCTAGGCCTGATCCCCTGGTTGTCCTGCACATGCTGCGTTATCTCCCTCAAGACAATCTGCTCCATAACCTTCCCTGGCACCGAGGTCAGGCTAACAAGCCTGTAGCTCCTCGGGTCCTCCTTACAACCCTTCTTGTAGATGGGAGTCACGTTGGCAAGTGTCCAGTCTTCTGGGACCTCACCAGTCAGCAAGGAGTGCTGATAGATAATGGAAAGTGGCTCGGCTATCACCTCCGCCAGTTCCTTCAGCACTCTCAGGTGAATCTCATCCGGATCCATGGACTTATGACAGTCCATTTAGAGCAGTCTCTGACTGCTACCTCCTGAATCGTGGGAGGTTTAGTCTGTTCCCCAGCCAAGACTACCAGGTCAGAGATGTCTGACCTTTAAAGACAGACATAAAGAACACATTCAGAACCTCTGCCTTTTCCTTATCCTCAGTGGTCACATTCCCAGCCTCATCCAGTAAAGAAAGGAATCCTTAGTCCTCCTCTTACTGTTGATGTATTTGTAAAAGAGTTTCTTGCTCCTTTTTACCCCAGCATCCAGGTTGAGTTCAAGCTGGGCTTTTGCCTTTCTTATTTTCTCTCCACTCATCAGCTTCTCTGTATTATTTCTGAGTCGTCTGTCCCTTCTTCCACAGTAGGTAGCTTCTTTTTTTCTCCCGGAGCCTCAAGAATAACTCCCTATTCATCCATGCTGGTCTTCTTCCCTGCCGGTTCGTTTTGCAGCTCAGGGGGATAGGCAGTTCCTGCGCCTTTAAGACTTCCTTCTTGAAGAGCAACCAGCCGTCTTGGACCCCTTTACTCTCTAAGACTGAATCCCAGAGGACTTCCCCTACTAGTCTTCTGAACAATTCAAATCCGCCCTCCGGAAGTCCAAGGTAGCAGCAGTTTTGCTGCTCCCCCTCCTTGCTCCACCAAGAATTGAGAACTCTACGATTTCATGGTCACCCTGTACAAGACAGCCCCGGACTTCCACATCTCCCACCAGACATTATCTGTTTGTGAAAAGTCAGTCTAGTGGGGCAGCTCATCTCATAGGCTCTCTCACCAGTGCATCAGAAAGTTATCCTCCATACACTACAGAAACCTCCTAGACTGCTTTTTCTGCACTGTGTTGTATTCCCAGCATACGTCGGGGAAGTTGAAGTCCCTCATGAGGACAAGGACTGGTGATCGTGCAGCTTTTGCCAGCTGCTCATACAACACTCATCTGTCTCTTCATCCTGGTTCGGCAGTCTATAGTAGACGCTCACTAGGATGTCTACCCTGTCAACCCTTCCCATGATTATGGGGATTCAACCTTATCATCCCCACCTACAAGCTCAATTCTATGTTCCATGATTCTAGTAATGTAAAGGTAAAATGTATATTCTAAAAATAACCTTTATGGAAGTCAATATATTAATTCAATTTGCTGCTTAAACTTGTAAAGAGTAAGTGCTCAGAAGATGAATGAGGTTCTTATCCTATTCTGAAAAAAAATGTTGAATGTCTAACCATAGAGTCAGGTTGTATTT